TATCCTTGTAAATTTAAGTTCCTTATACATGCTGCATATCAGACCTTTGTCGGATGCATAGTTTGTAAATTTTGTCTTCCATTCTGTAGGTTGTCTGTTTACTCTGTCGATAGTTTCTTTTGATGTGTGAAGCTTTTAAGTTTACTTAGATCCAATTTGGCAATTTTTGCTCTTGTTGCAATTGCTTTTGATATCTTTGTCAAGAAATCTTTGCCTGTTCCTATGTCCAGAATGATATTGCCTAGGTTGTCTTCCAGGGTTTTTATAGTTTTGGGTTTTACATTTAAGTCTTTAATCCATCTTGAGTTAATTTTTGTATATGGTATAAGGAAGGGGTTTAGTTTCAATCTTCTGCATATGGCTAGCCAGTTACCCTAGCACCATTTATTGAATAGGGAGTCTTTTCCCCATTGCTTTTGTCAGCTTTGTCAAAGATCAGATGGTTTAGGTGTTTGTTCTTATTTCCAAGCTCTCTCTTCTGTTTCATTGATCTATGTGTCTGTTTTTGTGCCAGTACCATGCTGTTTTGCTTACTGTAGCCCTGTAGTATAGTTTGAAGTTGGATAGTGTGATGCCTTTGACTTTGTTCTTTTTGCTTAGAATTGCTTTGTCTATTTGGGCTCTTTTTTGGTTCCATGTGAATTTTAAAATAGTTTTTTCCAGTTCTGTGAAGAATATCATTGTTAATCAGACAGGAATATTATTGAATCTCTAAATTTCTTTGGGCAGTATGGACATTTTAATGATACTGATTCTTCCTATCCATGAGCATGGGATGTTTTTCCATTTGTTCATGTCAGCTCTGCTTTCTTTGAGCAGTGTTTTATAATTCTCATTGTAGAGATTTTTTACCTCCCTGGTTAACTGTTTTCCGAGGTATTCTGTTTTTTTTGTGGTAATTGTGAATGAGATTGCATTCCTGATTTGGCTCTTGCCTTGGCTGTTGTTGGTGTATAGGAATATTAGTGATTTTTGTATGTTGATTTTGTACCCTGAAACTTTGCCGAAGTTGTTTATCAGCTGAAGGAGCTTTTGGGCTGAGACTATAGGGTTTTCCAGATATAGAATCATGTCATCTGCAAACAGGGATAGTTTGACTTCCTCTCTTCCTATTTGGATGTATTTAATTTCTTTCTCTTGCCTGATTACTCTGGCCAGAACTTTCAATAATATGTTGAATAAGAGTAATGAGAGAGGGCATCCTTGTCTTGTTCTTGTTTTCAAGAGGAATGCTTCCAGCCTTTGCCTATTTAGTGTGATGTTGGTTGTGAGAGTACCTCATTCTTGATTATGAACAGACAACAAAGGATCATCAGCCTTCTGAGCAGAGCCTCAAACATGAAAGCCAAAAAGCAAAACAAAGAGTCTCAAAGAGAAACAGAAGCAATGCAGTAAACTGAAGAAATCTTCAAAAACACAATAGAATTGATATCCTCAAAGAAATACAAATTGTATTCATGGGACAAGAAAAGGGGCAATTAAAAAAGACCTTTTGGAGAATAAGAAGAATTTTTGGTAGTTAGAATATGATAGCAGAAGTTAAAACTTTGATAGGATGGAAGATAATGAAAGAATACAAAGTTAAAAGTGGTAAAATGGTAGAGAAAGGATAAGAAAGTTAAGAGATCTGTTCAGGAAATTCCACCTCTGAAATAATAGAAAGATGTTCCTGACAGAAACAGAAATTTGATTGGAAAGCATCATTCTCCCTAGGGTAAATTTCTGAAAACCAAAAAAATCAGTTTCTAAAGGAAGTACTCACCAAGTGCTCAGCACAGAGAATGACAAAAGATTAACGTGATGATACATTGTGATCAAATTGAAGAATCCCAAGTGAAAAGTAAAAAATTTTATTTCAGAAAAAGCTTCTGAAGCAGGGGGAAGGTGGGAGGGCCCACCATACATCACACAAAGAAATAGAATTGAGAATGTCATTGGATTTCTCAGCAGCATCACTGGAAATTAGGAAACAATGGAATGGTATCCTAATTTTCTGGTGAATATTTTTTCAAATATATGATTTTCTATTCAGTCAAACTGTTCTGTGTGAGATAAAATAACGTGTTCAGACATCCAGAGTCGCAAATTTACTTCCAATGCATAGGAAATTTCTGGACGATTTGTTCCAAGGAGTAAACCAAGAGGAAGAAAACTTCAGAACCAGGGTATAGGAGAATTGACATGAAAGAGAGATGAGGACAGTTCCTGAAGTGATGGAGAAGGGAAGTCTTATGATAACAGTTGTGTAGTCAAACCAGAGCATAAACCAGACTACAGCAGGGGAATGGAAAGCTCCAAGAAGGCTTCCTCCTGGAAAAGAAATGATTTGGAAAGATTATCTGTTGTGTCTGAAGGTGTCGGGAGAAGAATTACCTCTCCATCAAAGATGGAAGAAGAATAAAATGATGGTACCCAGAAAACTACGAAAGAAGAAAAGGAGACAATTTTTAATTCCAGAGACAACAGAAAGTTGTACAAGAAAGAAATATAATCATGGCATTATATGTGGCTCACAAGTGAATAACAATATAACTACTAAATATAATTTAATAAAAAGTACTGATTTAACTATATTGGGAGGATTAAGAGAAGAGCATGTAGATATGCGTAGGAGGGTCAATTCTTATTAACTACCTACCTCAACATTCATTTTGCCTTGTAAGTGGCAGAATATATCTGGGTGCTAATCTTTAAAGGACGACACCTTCCAGCTGCATGTACAGCTAAGTATGGCCATATATCTAAGTTCAGTAGAAGTATTCAGTGGTACTTTAAGGAGATTGACTTAAAAGGGATGGAGTAGGCCATTATTCTCCTCTACCTAGCCTGGAATGGGAATGTAATGATTGAAGCTTTCACCACCATCATGGACTATGACAATAAAGTACAGATACCAAAGATGGTAGACCAGAGAGTTGGAAGGATATGAGGCCCTAATAACACTATAAAGCTGTGATATTAGCACTGAACTGATTACCAATGCATTTGCTTTATGTGAGATTATATATATATATTTATGCCATTATATTCAGGTGTCAATTATATGTAGCACAACTAGATCTTAACTGATATATATCACTAAATACACTAAATAATATATAAAATTAAATATTAGGAAATATCAGTGTAAACATGTTAGTAATATGAGTGATACAGTAATATGGAGATCAATGCTAGGAGAAACGGAAAAAAACATTAAACGTGGTTGCCTTTGGCGGTGGGAATTAGAGTAGAGGCACATGATTACTATTTTTTTTTATAACTCTTTTAGTCATTGTTACAGTTTGGATGTGGTTTGTCTTCGCCAAAACTCATGATGAAATTTGGGCCTCAATACAGCGTCATTGGGTGGTATGGCTTCGTCGGAGGTGTTTGGGTCATAGGGGCAGATTCTTCATGAATAGATTAATCCCCTCCCTTGTGAGTGAATGGAGTTTTTGCTCTGGCAAGAATGGATTAGTTCCCAAGTTAGCAGGTTGTTAAAATACAGGGGAAGAGGTGCATGGCCACCAGCTTTCAGCCCATTGTCCTTATTCTTTGGCTTGCAAATTAAGAGTCCCTCTGAATCACTTGACTTTCCTTTTGTCAGAGTTGTAGATCTCCAGAGATATCCCCAGATGCTCCACATTAAAGATACATCCTTTCATTGCTTTTTCCCCCCAGCAATTATTAAGTGTTTACTAGAGAACTAATTCACATTATCATGGCTGGAAATATTCTCTGATGCTCAATTCCCCTAATCTATAGATTGAGTTGGTTTAAGGTCTCCTTTGTATTACGAGCATTGTTGTTCCTACTGATAGTGACTTCGTTCTTGATTCAGGCAGACAGCTACTATGCTGCCATAAAAACCAATTAGGTGGGAGCTTATTCCTCTGCTGGATTGTGTGGTAGCTGGTCTCACCCAAGACTTTCATGTGAGAAGAAGCACCTTCTCTTTATCAGGAAATTTCTAGCATTTCTTGTTATTCACAGCTGAATGTAATGCCTCAGTTCATTTTCAATTGATAATATGTGATAAAAAATGTGTTTTCTTGGCAACCAGTATTTCTGTACATTTGTCTTAGAAATAGATTAATAACTGTTTATAGCAACTACATGCTAACACATCTTACTGTCTTTTTAATTAATTAAGCTAAACATCCCATTGCCATGATGTATTAGATCAAGTTTGTAACGTTACCATATTATTCTTTGGACATTGTTTGTTAGTGTTACCATGTGGATAAAATGTCAGGCATCTTTTTCCTCATGTAAATTTTACCTTTCATGCTTATATACTTACAGTTTTAATTTTGAACCTAAGTTTTCATTCATTCATTATACCAAAAGTTAACTCATATTCTTCCGAATGACTTCTTACCAAAAGCCACACACAAAAAAAAGAATTTGGCTTCCTTGATTTTTTTTCTCTCTTGCTCCCTTTCTCACCATGTGATCTCTTTGCACATACCCCCTTCCACTTTCTGCCATAAGTGGAAGAGACATGAGGCCCTCACTGGATGCAGCTATCCAATCTTGAATTTTTCAGTCAACAGAATCATGAACAAAGTAAACCTTTCTTTCTTTATAAATTACCCAGCCTCAGGTATTCTTTTATAGCAACACAGAATGGACTAAGACAGTAATATTTGACATTTTAAATTTGAACCTGTATTACTTTAAGTGAAAATTAAATTAATATTTTAGTTATGTTGTGATTAATATTTATGTTCATTGTAAACAGTTGAACAATACAAAAGAATATAGAGGAAATGTTCTGCCTGTCTTCAATATTCTTTACTTTTCCCCCCTGCCCATAAATTCCACTCTCCTCCCCAGGGTTTAGTTCTCAAGATTTGGTCTCTGTATATTTTTTCTGTACATTCATATAGCATATATAAGAGACATAGTTTCTTCTTCTACTCCTCTTTATTAAAAGTAAGTATATTTAAATGGTAACTTAAAAATAGTACATCCATAGGAGAGAATACTTAAGGGATGTTTGTTTATATTTTTAGAATTTACAATGTAGGCATACAGTTAAAAAATCAACAAAATGAATTTCAGAAAGTAGAGAAACAACTGAGTCATTTGCAAGATGAGTTAAAAATTAAATATAGACAATCATACATCTTCAGGTAAGATTAAAGAACTGAAAATTATAAAGATTGAAAAGATATGCTTAATACTAACTTTGTAAATAGCCAAACATATTTTAGTAATATGGTTTCTTTTCTTTTTTTTTTTTTGAGATGGAGTCTTGCTCTGTCACCCAGGCTGGAGTGCAGTGGCTTGACCTCTCACTGCAAGCTCCACCTCCCGGATTCACACCATTCTCCTGCCTCAGCCTCCCAAATAGCTGGGACTACAGGCATGCGCCATCCCACAGGCTTATTTTTTGTACTTTTAATAGAGATGGGGTTTCATCATGTTGGCCAGGATGGTCTCGATCTCCTGACCTCGTGATCCACCTGCCTCAGCCTCCCAAAGTGCTGGGATTACAGGTGTGAGCCACCGCGCCCGGCCAGTAATATGGTTTCTATATCTGGTGTGATTGAAAAAAGTGAAACAGCATTACGTTTTCTTTTTTCTTTTTTAAACCATTATCTCAATGAATAGTGTTGCTAATTAAATTTAAATTAGACATATACCTTGTTCTATTAGTGCCTTGTTATTGTTCTTATTTTGTGGGTGTCATTTAGAATGAAAGCACAGTAACTAATTCCCCTCTTCACCAATATTTCTTGGTGTAGTTGATCCTCTGAGTGATAGTCCAGTGACAAGAAAAGTAGTAGAATAGGAAAACTTCCTAAATAATATTAACATAGTCCTTAAATTCAGAAATCTCTAGTGTAAAGCATGTCAATTCTGCTTTTATATAATCTTTGGAGGGTTTATAATACCTAACGATAAAATCCAGCATTCTAAAGAAACTAGGAAGTACATTTTCTTTCCTAAAAATTGAATTGAATATTTTGAGAATGTTTATGAGAAAGAATAATTCCTTTTTGAATTGAATAACTTTTAGCTCTTAGAAAAGGGAAAGCAATGAGTTAATTCAACCCGGCAAATGACACAGGTTCTGGATGACTAAAAAAGTATGCTGGGTGAATGTTTTGAATGATAAGTTTTTGCTTTTTATCTAATAATTATTACCAGGAATTTTCTGAAAAAAATTCTGTGGGCCAATAATTTTTAATTCATTATCTGATAATAACCTATTGAACATCTACCTTTTATAAATGCTTTGCACATAACTGATGCTCAATACATAATTTTTGAATGAATCCATGAATGAAATCCACTCACAAAACAAGTGACCATTTTTATCATCAGAAATCCCCTTGATCCTTTCCTAGAAATCTGGTGTTGAACCAACAGGATAATGCCATTCAGGTGACCTCAACTTTTGTATTTTAATCAGGACTATCAGTATTCACTTTTGGCTTCTGTAATAGCTTTGACCCACATCTGCTGTAGAAGGCTCATCTGATTTATCCACTAGAGCCTTCATGGATGATAAGATTGACCTTTAAAGGCTGGATTGGGACTAGATCAAATAATTATTGCTGCTTCAGGTTATTATGGGACGGATATACTTGATCTTAATTATTTTCATTTTTGCATGTTATCTTCAGTATTTTAAATTTTTGAAGAAACGTAGACATATAAATAGAGTGTTATTTTTATTCTGTATTCTAATTTTGTCATCATTTTGAGTTATACTTTTAACAGCTTATTTTGTTCACATGTTTTCATAGATCTGTGATTTTTGCTCATTTTTAGCTAAAAGATCACAAATTAGGAGTCTGGGATCTGACTTATATAAAAATAGTATATACTAAAAACAATTTTGGAAGTAACTAGTCAACTAGACACTTAGTACAAATTACAGTTTGTAATAGATGAATAGAAATAATTATTGTTTTTATATTCTCACTGGTAGACATAATGCATTCCATAGAAAAAGGCATACTGTTAAAAATAAAATCAAACCAAATTTCTAGAGTTCATTGACTTTTGTTGCATTAGTGAAAGCTGATTTTAAGCTAGATTATTGATTATTTTAAAAATATTAGGCCATAAAACTTAGTGATTGCTCTGGATAAAGAAAAGGAGCTTATAATCTTCTCTCTTGAAGAGGTAAAGGATTCATGGGCCAAAACATGGGATGAAAAAAAAAAGAGGTAAGGGAAAGAAACATGAGCTTTCTACTCAGATATAATCATCTTTATTTATGGAGCCTAAAAGGAACTTTCAGTAGATCAGTGAACTATGTTTCGGGGTCCATTGCTGTTTTTAAATTCTTCTCTCATTTGTTTAATTACAATTGGGCTTAATCACTAGCCTTCAGCAAAGTATTCTTTCATGTTCTGTGTTTTCCGTGACATCACTTCCAGCCTGTGTCTTGTAAGGGCTCAGCATATTAGTTGGCACATTGGTTGGCTCAGCACATCTGTTACTCAGAATAAAGTGTTTTTTGAAAATGCAAATTAATTGTAGAAGGCCTATAAAGTAGCTATTAAAAACCTGAATGAAATATAGCTATACTTCACCTCACAAAGTTGTGTTTAAGTTCAATATTCCAAATCAGACCATATTTGAAATATTCTATCAGTATTTACTTTTAGAGGATTATTTTGAATCTTTTTAAATTTATTTGAAATAAAGAGTATTTATCCTTTAATTTTTCTTATTTGTAAAGCAAGACCTTGTCATCTCTAGAATTTTCAATGTCAACTCCAAAAATTTCTCTTGCAGCTCTTTCACTTCCACTTCACTTCTTCAGTCTAATTAAGGATGCTAGTATTTTTTCTTATTTTCCCAACCATATTTTGGCTTTACTTTGTTTTCTATCCTTGATCCCAAGTTTATTACCCCACACCTTTTTAAAAACATACTCATTGAGATATAATTTGCACACCACAAAATTCACCTCTCATAAGGAGGCAATTTAATTATTTTTAATAAACCTACAGAGTGGTGCCACCAAATATTAGCTATTAGATTGGCAACCACATCCAATATTAGAACTTGACTCATTCCAAAAAAGACCCTCCAGACCCTCATGCCATCTTCAATCAATCTCTGTGCTCACCTCCAGCTCACCAGGCAACTAACCTTTCTCTTTCTATAGATTTACAGTTTTCTGGACATTTCAGATATATAGAATCATACAATATGTGGTCTTTACATCTGGCTTTTACTAATTATGTTTTTGAGGTTCATTCATGTTGTGACACTTATCCATACTTTTGTTCCTTTTTATTGCTGAATAGTATTCCACTGTATGGATATACCACATTTTATTTATCCATTTACCAGTTGATGGATATTTGGATTGTTTCCACTTGTTGGTGCTTATGAATAATGCTGCTGTAAACATTCATATACAAGTCTTTGTGTGGATATGTTTTCAGTTCTTTGGAGTAGATACCTAAGTGTGGAATCACTAGGTCATATGATTAATCTATATTTAATTTTTTCTTTTTTTTGAGTCGGAGTCTCGCTTTGTCACCCAGGCTGGAATGCAGTGGCACAATCTTGGCTCGCTGCAACCTCCGCCTCCCTGGTTCATGCCATTCTCCTGCTTCAGCCTCCTGAGTAGCTGGGACTACAGGTGCCTGCCACCAAGCCCAGCTAATTTTTTGTATTTTTAGTAGAGATGGGGTTTCACTGTGTTAGCCAGGATGGTCTCAATCTCCTGACCTCGTGATTTGCCTACCTCGGCCTCCCAAAAGTGCTGGGATTACAGGCATGAGCCACCGTGCCCAGCCAATCGATATTTAATTTTTTTAACTGCCAACCTGTTTTCCAAAGAGGCTGCACATTTTACATTCCCACACCATGAATGAGGATTCCGGTTTCTCCATGTTTTTGTCAACACTTACTAATTGTCTGTCTGTTTTGTTGTAGTCATTCTAGTGGGTGTAAAATAGTATCTCATTGTGGCTTTGATTTGTGTTTCCCAAATTACTAATGATATTGAGTGTCTTTTCATTTGCTTGTTAATCATTTGTATATCTTATTAGTGAAACAGCTACTTAAATATTTTGCCAATTTTTAATGGGTTTATTTTCTTATGTGATTGTAAGAGTTCTTTCTGTATTCTGGATATAAGTCCTTTATATGAAATATGATTTGCAAATATTTTCTCCCAGTGGCTTATCTGTTTATTTTCTTAATAATGTTTTTTGAAAAGCAAAAGTTGTTTTTGATGAAATATAATTTATCTGTTTTATAGATTGTGCTTTTGCTGATGTATGTAAGAACTCTGTCTAAGCCTGTCACAAGGATTTTCTCCTGTATTTTCTTCTAAGAGTTTTATAGTTTTAGCTCTTCTTTAGATCTATGATCTATTTCAGCTAACTTTTGTGTATGATATGAGGTAAGGATCTAAATTCATCCTATTTCATATGGATATTCAATTGTTCCAGCACTGTTTGTTAGAGGCCATTTTTTTTTCCTTATTGAATTGCCTTGGCATCTTTGCGTAAAATAAATTCACCATAAATGTAAGGGATTATTTTTGGATTTTCTATTCTATTCCATTAATCTATGTCTTATGTCAGTGCCACACTCTCTTAAATACTAGGTTTTTAATAAATTTTAAAATCAAGAAATATAATTCTTCTAACTTCCTTTTTTGTTTTCAAAATTGTTTTTGCTATTCTGGGCCCTCCATAATGAATTTTAGGATCAGCTGGTAAATTTCTGTGAAGTAGCCTGCTGGGACTTTGATAGGTATAGTATTGAATCTATAGATCAATTTGGGGAGAATTTCTACCTTAAAATTTTTGTATCTTTCGATTCATGAATGTGGTATGTTTTTCCATGGAGATCTTTAGCCCTCTCAAAAATATTTTGTTTTCTTTAACTTCTTTTATTACAATTTATTTCTAAGTGTTTTATTCTTTTTATGTTATTATGAATGGGACTGTTAATTTTATCTTGGGGATTGGTCATTGTTAATATACAGAAATAAAATTAATTTTTGCGTATGTATTGTGTATCCAGTGACCTTGATGAATTTGTTTATTAATTCTAGTATTTGTGTGTGTGTGTGTGTGTGTGTGTGTGTGTCTTTAGGATTTTCTACATAGAGGAGTTTACCAACACTCCAAGTCCTTTTACCTCTATTCATTTAGTTGTATTTACCCTTAAATCCTTTGGCCTTCATGCCTACTTCCAGGTTGTTAAACACTAAATCCTTAGTGAGGAATCCTCAATATTCTGCTTAGGCTCCTTGGTGCTATTCATCTCTTAGCAGCCGTTTTTCTTGCCTCTTGTTTCACAGAGAAGGTTAAGGTTACCAATAGAGGCAAATTTATTGTGAACCAGATGATGCTTAAGTTTCAGAGTCTCTCACTTAGGACTTCCTTCCAAGGTTCTGAGAAGGTTTCTGGTGAAAGCAAGATGATTGAGTTGTAATTTGGTTAAAAATTCTCTTTCTACTCAGGTTTTTCCTCTCGCTCACTTTTAAAAAAATTAATTATTTTTTGTGATTCTTCTGTTGTAAGTATACCATTGGAGTAGTCACAGGCATTTGGAGGATCTGAGTAAGGGAAAGTTGACGTAGGAGTACACCATTATAATTGCCATTTGGAAAGATACTTTAGAATGCTTTAATGAAACAAGCAAGAAATTACATTAATTTGGATATATATAGATTTTTAAAATTAAATAAAAGCATTTATAAGCAAATTAAGCAATAGAAATTATTGTGGCCTAAAGAAGCAAGCTGTAACAACTTCTTTGATTACATCAAAGCAAATTTATTAATAGAAAGAGATAATTTTTTAAAGTTCTTGGGTTATTTGATAATCTAATGTAAGGGAGTTAATTATTCAGATACATTGGAGAAAGATTTAAGTTTACACTGATTTTACAGATATGACTAACATCATTGAATGTAACATACAAATCATAATACACTACTTCAGGCAGACCATCTAAGATAAATTGACCCATGAGTTTCATTATTTCAAAGACAATTTAATCGCTTTCCAAGAAAACTTGAAATGACAAAATCTTATGTATGAGAAAAGTTTAATAAGAATTTCCCCAAATTTGACAATGCTAAGAATTTATGTGGCATTACTGATCATCAAATTACTAATTACTAATTACCAAAGGCCTCCCAGATACAGTGGACTCTATTCAGCCCTTTTCTGCAGACTTAAACACTGATCACTACATTTTTCTTAAAATATTCATATCCCCTGGCTTTTCTGACATTATTCTTTTGGCTTATCTTCTGACTCACTGATGAGTTCCCCCTAGTCTCCTCTGAGGGATTCTTTTTAGTTTCAGTCGCTTAAATGTTTGTGTTGTCCAATGTGTTATCCCTAGCACTTCTCATTTTTCCATTTCTCCAACTGAGGAGGAATTTATTTTATTTACTCTTTCATTCAATATTTGTTGAAAACATATTATGCGGTAGGCACTGTGCTAGATGCTAGAGAGACTATGATGAGCAAGATAGATATAACCTCTGCCTTATACTCAGGGATACAAATATTGACATACTCTCATGGCTTCAGTCATCACCTTTTTGCTGCTCTCAAATCTGTGTCTGTATTTTATTTGATTATTAAGATAATTAAAACCAGAATAAAATCACTGAGATGACAAAAATGTGATTACTTTGAGCTATCAGATTTTATGAAGCAAATGCACTGGATCAGTCACTTTGAATTGTTTTACTTATTATTACCCCAGATTTTTCACTGCCTATATAACCATGGTATGCGGGACAAATGCTGTATAAGACTTTAAGATTCTCATTTAGGATCTAAGACTAAATTGCTCTGACCTAATTTTCTCCACTAAATGCTTACTGTTGAATATAAAAGGATTAATAGAATAAATGTGTATGAAGGTAGTTAGCTGTCTTTCTTTGTAGTTAAAATAATGGCAAAATGGAAGTGAGTTAGAGTGACCATACACTTCAGTTTACCTGAGATATTCCTAGTTTATTTGTTGTTTCAGCATAATATGAATACCACCTTCTGCTTTCAAAATTGTCTCCAATTAGACAGTAGATTATATGGTCACTCTAAAACTATTTTTGGAGAAGTTTATTATGCTTACTATTTTTTAAAATCCTATTTTTCTTTTTCTTTTTTTAATTTGCAGTCAAAGATTGTCAGAGTACAAATATTTCTGGAATAAGACTCTTTCATTACTTACTTTTACTAAAAGGGAGCTCACCAGTATTAAAAATGAAGTGTATGATAATTACCAAAACTGGACTTCATTGAAAGGAGAAATTTTTCTACAAATTAAATCTATAAGTGAAACAGCCTTGACAGGTTTGTTACATATATTTAGAATATAATTGTCCCTTTTTGGTAAATGGTACATCATAAGTAATAAAATAATGGTATTTCATTTTATTTGATGGAAATTAGGATTAACTTTGTTATCACTTGGTAGAGTAAATGACCATTAAGATCTATTTCAACTCTGAAATTTAATTATTATAGGTTTATCTAAGATAAGCTGTGATACATCTATCTTGAACTGTGGCCAGAAGTCTGTTCATTACTGTTAAAACTACTAATTTATGTTTTTAAAACTCCTCTTCTCTTAATGAGTGAGTAGCTCATACTAGGTCAGCCTTCTTATAGATAGCAACTATAAATTCTAGAAAAATAGCTACCTAAAGACAGTAAAGAGTGACCCAAACCAAACACATAATGGAGGGAGTATCAAAAATTAAAAGAAGGCATACTAAGTGAAAGATGCCCATTTGAAAAGGCTACATACTATATTATTCCAACTATGAAGTTCTGGAAAAGATAAAACTATGAAATAGTTAAACAATCAGTGGTTGCCACGAGTTCCAGGCAGAGGATAAATGAGAAGAGAAAGGAAGATTTTTAGGGCAGTGAAACTAATCTGTATAATACTACAGTAGTGGAGACATGTCATTATACATTTGTCAAAGTTCATAGAATGTACAACACAAAGAATGAACCCTAATGTAAACTATAAATTTTGGGTAGTAATAATAATGTTGATTCATCAATTGTAACAAGTACTACTCTCCTGAAGGGTATCCATTGTTGGGGAGGATTTGCGTGTGTGGAGAGAGGGGGATATGGGAATTCTCCATACTTTCTGCTCAAATTTCCTGTGAACCTAAAACTGTTCTAAAAAATAGTCCATTAAAGGGTTTTTTTGGTTTGTTTTTTGTTTTTTGTTTTTTGTTTTTTAATGTTGAAAGAAATGCATGGCAGTGAGTGAATTTTTTCTTTTTAAGGATATTGGACTGAGAGCAGGATACAGTTTGCTCCATGCAAAGAAGCTAAAAATCTGATAGAAAACTGTAGACTAGAGGATAGAGATCAACGCAACCTCACTCTCTGAGAAGTAAAGGGATATCCCAGAGAAGTGAAAGCCAGAAAAACAGAGCTCAAATTTTGCATATAAACTCTTTCCAAATCTCAGGCTTATCCCTGAAATAATGTGCTCAAGGAAGATGCTAAATAGTCCATCTGAAACTAAAGTAATTGATATTTTAGCTGTCACCTACCCTACGGGAAACAGATTTAACACTTGAAGTTTAGCTAGATTAACTCCTTGTTAAAACAATACAAGAAAAAATAAATACTCTTTGCAAGAACATAAGAATCCAGAGTCTCTGTAACATAACACCCACAATGTTTAGTATACAATCCAAAATTACTCATAACCAAAAGAATAGAGACTGGTTGACTCAGATGATATAATTAGCTGGCCAGGATTTCAAATTAGCTATCATAACAGTGCTCAAGGATATAAAGGAAAATATGCTAGTAAGGAATAAAAAGAAAATCTGAGTAAGCAACTATTAAAAAGTGAGAAATTCAAGAATTGAAAAATATGGTGTCTGAAATAAAATTTCACTGGATGGACTTTTATAGCATATTGCATATATGTGAATCAGTGATTCACATATAGAATAAAGAATCAGTGAATTTTAAAATAAATCAATAGAAATTATTCAATTTAAAGAGAGAGATAAACATTGAAAAAAACTGAATGGAGCCCCAGCATCCTCGGGAAAGAATAAAATGCACCATAAGTGACAAGTATGAGTAAATATAAAAGACTCCTTTTCTTTTAAATTTTTTAAAACTCACATGCTTATTTAAAGCAAGCATTATTATTTTGTAAGGCTTATAAAGTGTGTCAATGTAACATGACAACTAGAGTCTAAAGGTTGGAGAGGTGGATAAATGGATTCATTTGGTTGCACTATATTTGTATTTTATGTGACATGGTAGAATATTTAAACCAATAAATTAAGTAGTATAGTGTAATTTCTAGAGCAACTACTAAAAAATTAAATACAGAAACATGTAGCTAAAAAGCTAATACATAATTTAAAAGATAACTCTTTAAAAAGTATTCAAACAATCCAAAAGATGGCATTTTAAACATCATCTAAGATTTATGCAGTAATCAAATCAGCATAGTGCTGGCATATGGATCAACGAAGATGAATGGAACAAGATAGCCTGATAAATTACCCTACTTATATAATCAATTGACTTTTGAGAAAGACACCAAAACAATCCAATGAGAAAAAGAAAGTCTTTCAACAAATTGTGCTAGAACAACTGAATACCCATGTAGAAAAATATACCTCAACTTCTGCCTCACACCATACATGAGAATTAATTTAGGATAAATCATAACCTAAATGCAAAGGATAAAATTATAAAACTACTAGAAGAAACGTAACAAAATATCTTCATGACTTGATGGTAAATGAAGATTTCATGGATAGGACATAGAAGTAAGAACTATAAAAAAATGAAAATTGGTGAATTAGATTTTATCATCATTAAAACATCTGTTCATCAGAAGCTATCAGTACGAAAATGAATAGTTAAATCACAGAGAAAATATTTACAAAATGTGTGACAAAGAACTGTTGTCCAAGTTACATAAAGAATGCCTACAAGTCAATAATAAAAGTATTCAATCAAAAATGACCAAAAGATCTGAACAGACACTTTACACAGGAAGATACATAAATGGCTAATAAAGACACAAAAATGTTCTTAACATTATTAGCTCATCTGATTGGCTAAAATGAAACGGTCTGATGGCAGCAAATGTTACTAAGTAGAGTACTGGAATCCTTGTACAAATTTGTGAGAATGTAAAGTGCTACAGCCACTTAGAGAAAAGATCTGACAGTTTCCCATTAAGCTAAATATACATTTATCCAAAGACCCTGAAATTCCACCCTTTGGTATTTACCCAAGAAACGTGAAAACATATGTCCACAAGATACTTATATGAGAATATTCAGCAACTTTATTCAAGCTTAATTCGAAATATCCTAAAACTGCAAAAAGCTCAGGAGTACATCAGTAGTAGAATGGGTTCTCTAAAAGAAAACAGTTGGATATATTCAGTGGAATATGTAATGAACTGCAGATAATGTAGTAGCATGGATAATCCTCAAAAATATTATGCTACTTGAAAGTAGCCTTACACAAATAATACATATTGTATTATTTCATTTATACAATGTTCTAGAAACAGGCAAAACTAATCTACAGAGGGGAAGAAACAGAACAACAGAACAGTGGTTGCCATAGAGGATAGGATTGACTGGAAAAGCACAAAGGCACTTTCTTTGATGATAGTAATTCTTTATGTTTTGATAGGGGTTTGCATTACACAGGTCGATGCATTTCCCAAAACTCATCTATTGGTGCATTTGAGATTTGTACATTTCTGTAGGTAAATTTACTCGAAAAGAAATATATCCAAATGTTGAACTCTATCTCTATGATGAAATGTTTAGGAGAGAAGTATATTTATGTCTGCAACTTACCTTGATATTCATAGGATGGATTGATGGATGTATAAAGTGTTTGATAGATATATAATTACATGATAAAGCAAATATAGTAAAATATTAATTGTAGAATCTAAGTAGTGTGTATATTTGTGTCCAGTATACAATTATTTTAACTTCTCTATATGTTTTAAAACTTTCATAGTTAAATGTTGGGAAAAAGTCATGTTAAACCGTGAAACTTTAATTTCACTTACCAACAATTTTGTTATATAATATATGCCTTCAGAAATACATTTTATATGACAATATGCTTTTAAATTTGAAATTTAACTTTAATAATTAAATGTAGGCAAATAGAGGAATATTGTAACAAACATGTAAAAAGTATGTCTATATTAGGCCGAGTGTGGTGGCTCATGCCTAGCACTATGGGAAACTGAGGTAAGTCAATAGCTTGAGCTCAAGAGTTTGAGACCAGCCTGGGCAACATGGCAAAGCCCTGTCTCTACTAAAAATACAAAAATTAGCTGGGTGTGGTGGTGCACACCTGTGACCCCAGCTACTTGTGAGGCTGAGGCATGAGAATTGCTTGAACCTGGGAAGTGGAGGTTGCAGTGAACATGTCACTGCACTCCAGCCTGGGTGACAGAGTGAGACTATCTCAAAAAAAAAAAAAAAAAAAAAGGGGATATCTACATTATTAAATGGAGCAGGCCAGGCGTGGCTCACGCCTGTAATCCCAGCACTTTGGGAGGCTGAGACGGGCGGATCACGAAGTCAGGAGATCAAGACCATCCTGGCTAACACAATGAAACCCTGTCTCTACTAAAAATACAAAAAATTAGCTGGGCGTGGTGGTGGGTGCCTGTAGTCCCAGCTACTTGGGAGGCTGAGGCAGGAGAATGGCATGAACCTGGGAGGCAGAACTTATGGTGAGCTGAGATTGCACCACTGTACTCCAGCCTGGGTGACAGCACAAGACTCTGTCTCAAAAAAAAAAAAAAAAAAAGGAACAGACACTGAGAGTGTTCTAGTCATATTCTTTGGACCTTTAGTGTTCTTCTGCTGACTTTTAACTTCCAGTGTCTGCATATCTGTGCCAGAGGAATCTTGCTTCTGCCACAGTTAATAATATCGATATACTTTACATAATTGTATTTCATTTTGTAAATATACTATATATTATGCATCATTTCCATTATTTGAACATTCGTATGTGTCTTTTTTTGGATATATGTTTTTGTTCATTTTTGGGTAAATACCTAGGAGTGGAATGGCTGAATTGTATAGTAGGGTATATTCAACATTTTAAGAAACTACCCAAGGCTTTTCCAAAGTGGTTATTCATTTTTACCAGCAGTGTATGAGAGCTCTAGTTGTTGCATATCTTTGCCAACACTTAGTATTGTCAGTCTCTTTCATTTTATTCTTTGTAATGAGGTATTCATATAAAAGATATGAATGTACGTGTAAAATAGTCGTCTTGGTAATTTTCTCATTTTTGAG